CGTCTACCGATTCGTTGTCGACGTTGATTATCTTCATCTGAATTTTGTTTTTTTGAAAATAATTTTATTCTAGGAAATTTAATTTCTTCATAGAATAAAAATGTTATACAATCAATCCATGGTAATGTTGTAAAATAAATAAAAATAATTCGTTGATGAACAGTTAATGATATATGAAAAATTTTAATCGTTATTATTGGTAAAATAATAATAATATTACTTATTAAAAATAGAATTAACGTAAGAAGACGTTTTAAACTATGATTAACCATTGTTAAACGTTCATGTTCTTTAAAATTTGTAAAAATTAATGAAGAAAAAAATACTGTTGCTAAACGTTTTCGTTTAAGATTTGATATATCTCTATATGATATAAAAATCCATGCCATTGTTAACAAATCAATTAAAATAAAAAGTACATAAGTAATTATTGTTGGTATTAAAGATTTTTCATGGTTCGTTTGTATATGAAGATATTTTATTACTGTTTTCGTTGTTTTTTGACATATATCAATAATAAGTGGATTATCGCCATTCATTGTTATATGTATAGAAAGAAAAAGACTTGAAACAAAATAATTAATAATTATACCAAATACTAAACAACATTTTGAATAAAGTGTACTTTTATGATTGATTGTTGAATCCCAAAAATGTGCTGTTTCACTAACAATAATCAATAATAAATCAAATGTTGATAATAATAATAGAAAATGTATGAAGATTTCAATTGATAAACATTTTTGAAAAAGAATTATTGAAAAACAAACAAGAAATATGATTGTACAACGAATTATACATATAATAAGATGATGAAATAAATATAGATTAAAAGTTGAAGGACGATGAGATATTTTCTTATGAGACCAATTCATAATTACATTTCGTAAAGCAATTGATAGTTCAATCATTAAAATAATTATTAATACAAGACTAAAACCCATCAATATGAATACATGTAACTTTGAAATAAGAAGTATGGCTGCCATAGTTATTTTCTCTGATCACTCTCGTTAACTGTATTCTAAATGTTTGCGTGCAGTAAAGTAGCAAACAAATAAAAATGAACTAATGGTTAAGCAAATATACGATTGACATCCTTCCTCTCTCTCTCTTTCTTTTTTTGCCTCTTCTTCTGTTTCATATAATGATGATTAGGACGATTTTGTTTTCTTCTTTATATTCTTATG